TACCTTGAGCTGAGAAGTGGAATGGTGTCATTAGAAAGCTACAAAATTAATTTTGTGATACTGAGCCTCTAACTAGTTGGAGATTAGTGTGCTGCTAAATTTGCATTAGTGTGCTAGTCAAAGACAAGGATATTCAAGTACAACATTTCTTAGTTTCATATTAATTGCATATTTCTGTTTATTTCATATTACACAAAAATTACTGAAAAGCAGCCTAATATACTACATTGGAAACAATATGATAGAACTTTAATACTAGTAATTATAGTGGCAATACTGACACTATTATCTTGTATATGTAAAGGTTTTGACAAATTTAAGAGCGTTTCATATATTTCAAGGAAATACCCAAAAAGCCTGTTTCTACTCAACATTAAAGACCTAAGTGAAATCTGAGACTTTCAACGCCTTTTGGATATGTAATTAGACAGGAGTTTAGCCTTTTGGAACACATCTAATGATGAAAATTTCCAATTTTAAGCTGACTGTTGGGCATCAAAATGGCCATCTTTACAAATGAAGTAGCACTCATGTGCTCAAGTATACATAGAATGTATGCAAAGTGAATGTCTCCTTTAAATCTTCCTCCCATTGACTTGAGCAATGAGAACACATGGACACAGGGAGGGGAACATCACACACTGGGGCCTGTTGGGGGGAGGGGGGCTGGGGGAGGGATAGCATTAGGAGAAATACCTAATGTAAATGACGAGTTGATGGGTGCATCAAACCAACATGACACATGTATACCTATGTAACAAACCTGCATGTTGAGCACATGTACCCCAAAACTTAACATATAATTTAAAAAAAAAAAGTGAAAACAAATCTTCCTCCCATTACCAAGATAGAAATGGACCCTTAGTTACTGCCACTTGCCATCTCAATCTATGTTCTGGATAGAAATGGTGCTTGCTCTCTGCTAGCTGTTAATTGACATCACTTCTGCCAGAACTCTCCATCATTATTGACAAGAATGTTCTCCCTTGTTAATTGCCCAGAAGCACATTGAGTGATTGATTGTAACTTTTGGACAGATTTGAAATGCATTTGCAGAAAAGGGTGGGGGTGGTAATGACATAACGCATGGTAATGACACCAACTAACTGCTTATTTAGGTTTGTTCAGGAAAAATATACTGATCATTTACCTGATTTTTACCTTTTATATAGATGTGCTAATGGTAAGTAGTGATAGCTTTTAAGGATGCCCCATATTAACCCAATGCTTCACAAAATCTCTCTCAGACTATGCCCATAAAACTCCAAAATCTATAGTCAACTAGTGGGAAAAATGAATAATTTATTTAATGTATAAGCAGGGAAAACCAATGGGTAGATGGAATATTTTACATTTTTGTTGATTTAATTATAAGTAGGAAATACCTAGATTAATGAGAAGAGTTTTTAAATGGAAGGCTGGGGAATGCTCAATATTCAACGGTGTAAGATTTTCTTTTAGCATAGAGGCAACTAGAGTAACAGATTAAGTGCATATTTTCATGAGAACTTTGCTTACAAGCTGGATTTCCCTAGAAGTATTTGAGACACAAGGGCGAGTCAACTAATAGTATCTACAGTGTTTTTGCAACCATATAATGAGAGAGTAAGTCTGGATCAGTAGTTACTGATGTATGAAATCACCTGAAGAGTTTTTAAAATGCCAATGCCTGGATCCTCCCCTAGAAATACTGATTTTATTTGTCTAGGCAGGGTAATGATGATCAAACTTTACTCTGAAGCAACATCTTCTCACAAACTTGGTAAAAGTATAAAGCCTCAAGCCCTATCCTGCTTCAAGCAGCCTGGGTCTTTGTTTGCTGGATTACCTCTCCTGGTGATTCTGATAACATCAAAGTTTGGAATCACTGCTCTGGGTTCAACATCAGACTTTTTTTTCAAGCTCCCCCAGGTGATATTCCCTGGGTGCAGCCAAGGTTGGGAACTACTGATTAAAGAGATATTTAGGATTCTTCCCAGTCTGGCAGGAATAATAAAAATTGCTACCTTTATTAAACATTCATTGCATATAAGGCATTGTGCTAAGTATTATTTCATTAAATAATTGCAAAATTCAGTGAAGCAGGTAATGTTAGTACTACTTTGCATATGAGAGACAGGGAGGGTAAATAATTTAGCTAAAGTAACATGGGTAGGAAATGGTAGATTGGAACTCCAGCTGTAACCTCAAAGATCACACAAGAAACTATTACTATCAATAATCTTTTGGAATTATAAGATAAATTAAAAACTCTACAAGTTGGAAACATATTAAATTATTTTCTTCTATTTTAAAATGTTCCTGACTTGCAATTACATAGTAAAAACAAAACAAAGAATTTTTAAAAGTCAATGGAAAATATAGAAAAAATAAAGTATTCATGAGTTAAAAGGAAGAAGTAAATTGGTAGTGAAAATCAGGTTAGATTTTAATTATTCCAATTTAATCTGGAAAAAAATTATAAGTTACTTGTGTTAGTATATGAGAAATTAGAATAAGAGTTTCAGATAGAGGTATTTTGCCACAGTTATATTGAGGGGAAAGGTAGCAAGCATTTCAGGGGAAAGAAGAAATTTGTATACTTCTTTAAAATGGTTTCGGATGTTAATAATGCAATGAATTAAAAGAAAAAAGTCAGTCTATACGCAGAACACTTCCATTTCTCTCCTTTTGTGTTTGGGAAAATACTGACTTAGTGCCCTCCTAGGCATGGAAAATACTTTGACCACTGCCACCAGTCACACTTGTATCTGCAAAGGGGCAAAAAGAGTGCCTTTGTAAAGTATGGTTTAGTCCTGTACAGTGGGGAGTGGTGCTTAGGAGACTGCCTTGTTTCTCTTAAGACACAACCTTTCTCAGATTTGGTGTGTAGTCTGCATATGAGCAGAGGGCTCATATTAAACTGATGGAGGAAAGGTATATTTCCAACCATAAATAAATAAATAGCATGAAGAGATGACGGGGGCCTTCTCCTGCCACTTGCACATTTCTCGGACTGTTCTTGCTGATAAGCAAAGTGAGCACTTATTTTCATTGGCATTATTTTCCCAGTGGCACCTAGACTATGTGGAGAGTGTTGAATTTTCAGCAGTCTAGAGAGTTGGAGACATGGTTCCTGATTCTGTTACTCTAGCATCCATTACATGATATGCATGAAATGTACCTATGAAATTATGTTAAGACTGAGTGCGTGGGAAGAATAGAATAATTACACAGCCAACAAGTTGTTGTGAGTCCTAAATATATTATCGTTCAAATAATGGATGGTACTGTGGTAACTTTCACAAAGAAAAATTCTAGAATTATTTTAACAGTAAGCAAATTGCATTTGATCTTTAATGTGGTAAAATTAAAAAGGTACAGGGAAAAAAGTGTCTACACATTGCTCTGAAATCCTCTTGGCTTCTTAAAAACATTTGACACTGCAGGAAAATGCTAATTAAAGGAAGACAAAAGTTGAATTTGGATTCTAGTGCCTCATAGGACTCGAATTTCTGTGAATATTGATACAACATGTTTTTAAAACACTTTGGTAATAGAGCTGTGTTCTGCTGGAAGTGGCAGAAAGGCAAATTGCAAGTAGGCAATGAAGGTAGAGACTACCAAAGATAATCAGAGGTTTGTAATTGAAAAGGTGCCTCAACCTTAACTCTGGCCAGCGGGCTCAGCCATGGCTCTGCAACTAAGGACGACTCGCCTTGATTTCCAGCGAGGACCACTCTCGGGGCCAGGTTGGAGGAAGATCTTCAAGAGGAAACACTGGGCATTCTCCCTGCTATGGGAAAGATCCACACAATGTTTTATCCTATGTCAGGGAAAGAGACTGAATTAATCTTACTATTGGATCTTCACCCAGATCCAAATTTTCAGCGACGCGCATAGACAATATTCCAGGCAACTTTGCCAGGTCACATTCCTTATCTTTGGAAGCGCCAGCATGGGGCTTATCGTCAACAAGCTCTGAGAACCAGCCAGGAATCGCCAAACTCCATTTCTCGAAGAGCACTGAGGCAAGCGGAGGTGAAGAGGAAGCCTCGGGGCAGTGAGGAGCAGTGTGGGGGAGGGAGGCGCGGGCACGACGAGGGGAAGGATCAGGAGGACAGGTCTGACTCCTGACTGGCTGGAGTGGTTTTGGAGAAAGTCACAGCTCCGGCGTGCCAGCCTGGAGCTGTCCAACTTTTCAGCAGCTCTGGGATCAGGGTTCCGGTGCCTTGGACCGGGGAGGCGGCTACCACTGCCGCCGCCGCTGCTGCTGCTGCTTCTGCAGCTCGAGTTGCTGAGAATCCCTGCTCTCGCCGCCGGCGCCCAAAGAAAGGAAGGGAAGAAGAAAGGGAGGAAGAAGGACCAACCTCTGGCGAAACCGGGCACCGCGCACCCTAGTCTTGGCGACTTGGGGAGCCCGGGAGCGCGTCTCTGCCATAGCCTCGGTGGAAGGAGCCCTGCCGCGTTCTGTGACCCCTCCCGCTGGCAGGGCCCCCTCTCGGTAGCCCTGAGGCTCTGGCGCCTTCAAGTGAGAAGCTGAGCACCAGCCTCTGCTGGGCTGCAGAAGCGGCGGCGGCGGCGGCGGCGGCGGCGGCAGCAGCAGCATCAGGAAGGCGCTCGGGCCAGGGCGGTGAACCCGGGCTGGGCAGCAGGGAGCGGAGCCGCGAGTCAGGATGGAGGCAGAGGGCAGCAGCGCGCCGGCCCGGGCGGGCAGCGGAGAGGGCAGCGATAGCGCCGGCGGGTCCACGCTAAAAGCCCCCAAGCATCTCTGGAGGCACGAGCAGCACCATCAGTACCCGCTCCGGCAGCCCCAGTTCCGCCTCCTGCATCCCCATCACCACCTGCCCCCGCCGCCGCCACCCTCGCCCCAGCCCCAGCCCCAGTGTCCGCTACAGCCGCCGCCACCGCCCCCCCTGCCGCCGCCCCCGCCGCCAACCGGGGCTGCCCGCGGCCGCTACGCCTCGAGCGGGGCCACCGGCCGTGTCCGGCATCGCGGCTACTCGGACACCGAGCGCTACCTGTACTGTCGCGCCATGGACCGCACCTCCTACGCGGTGGAAACCGGCCACCGGCCCGGCCTGAAGAAATCGAGGATGTCCTGGCCCTCCTCGTTCCAGGGACTCAGGCGGTGAGTGGAGAGCGCCCCCTCCCCCATTCAAGCAAAGGGTCACCTCCCCTCTTCTCAAATACTCCATCTAAGTCGGCTTATCACCACCAATTCTAGACCCAGGGTCAAATGCTAGTCTGGAAATTGGGGGAGGACAAACAGGGGTGTGCCTATCCTTTACTGAGAGTATTCTATTCAGGTGTGTGTAAGGGACCCTCCAAAAGTACTGCATAAATGTTAAGTGGGGCCGTGTGTGTGTGTGTGTGTGTGTGTGTGTGCGCGCGCGCGTGTGTTGTGCGCGCGCTTCCCAGTTTTCTGTGCCGCGCACCAGCCCTCTCCCCACCCACTTCCATACCACCCTGGCTAGTGAGACTAAACAGGCAAAATCAGTTTGCTCTGTGTGGAGAAGAGAAGGTGAAGGTTTTGCGGGATTTGACCGGCGAAAGCACCCAGTCATCTGTCCACTCACCCCATTGGGAGGAGGGTCGGTGGGGCTGCTCTAACTAGGGAGGAGTGGGGAGTTTGAAAGGCTGGTCCCAGGATTGCAGCTAAAAGCCTGAGAACAACTCGTGTTTCTCTTCGTCATGTGGAGAAGTAAATTGAACAGCAAAAGGGGAGAACAAACACGTGGGTGACTTGGAGAGTTTGGAGCAAAATGTTCAGCAATCCTTGAGAGAAAGAAAGGGGTGAGGGAGGGAAGAAAGGAGCGAGGACGCTGTGGGAGTTACATTGTATCGGTGTGTGTGAGCTTGAGTGTAGGGAGACTGTGTGTGTTATCAGTCGTCTCTGCAAAATCCCAGGAAGAAAGCGCCTTGTTTTAGCAGCAGGCAAGACGTAGAGATTTGATTATAGTGATTTCCCCTTAACGTAAGTGCTCCGGAAGACAGGGCAGGGAAGCCGCCTGTCAACCGGGAGTTTTAATAGAAGTTGACCGCTGCTTCTCCGAGGAAATGAGTAGCGTAAAGGACCAATTACAGCCGTTCTGAGGAGTCAGCTCCAGATTCTTAACTCAGGCATGGAGGTGGATGTGGGGCCCATGTTTAGTCCCTTTCCTGATAACCCAGAGACAGCTCCTTTCTTCCCTGTCCCAGGCCCTCCACGCCGTGAATCCCCTCCCCTACACAGGCACAGGAAAACGATTTCAGGAGCTGCTGATCCTTGACACATCTAATAGTAAAGTAGAGGGGTCGTCATCTAACCTTAAATGTGGACAGGCATCGATGTACTGCACCTCCAAGCCACAAGTCTGGACACAAAGTTTGGCAGTTATAAATTGTAAATCAGGTCTGGGTATGGAAACAGGAAAATCTAGGGCTGAGATTGTTTGTCCAACTCTGATTGACAGTAGGTTGGACTGATCAGAAAATCATAATGGTGTTCAAATTTGTGTTTATCTGAGGTTTTGTGTGTGTGTGTGTGAGCATGTCTCTCTGTTGTATACACTATGTACAAGGAAATCCAGCCAAACTATCATAAATCTGATGTGTACACATCATTTCAGCTTGCATATATGCTTTTAGCCCTTTGCCTGCTCACACCCTTAGGTACCCTTGTTGGAGATGTTCTTGTACCTGTTGGATGGGAAGAATAAGAATTGTAGTTAATAACCTCAATTCAGATCAATTTAAACTCTGACATTGGTGTAGACTGCAGACTTTCATAAATTAATATGAAAGTTTCATTTTTCAGCCAAGACTGCTAAGACCCTTTGTTTGAAGAGGTGGATGTCCTTCTCTCTCCCCTTTGGTTGAGTGCTACACTATGTAGGATCCCGATGATAGAATGAAGGCAAGCATGATACTTTGTATATTTGACCTATTAATAGAAAAATACTGTGTGATGATGAGCCCTTAATAAACATTAAATAAGAACAAGAGTTCTAGCTTGATCTGTGGGCTGATTGATTTTGTAGAGTTTCTTAATTGACTTCATTTTTAAATAAAATAGGGTATGCCTGAGAGAGTGGAAGAAAGAAAAATATGCTAGTTGGAATAGAGGTATTGCATCATTGATTTGAATTTATTTTTTGCTATGCTCTCTACATTGATTAATCGTTCTATTTGAAATTTTTTAGTTGAATGGTTCACAGGCAAACTAAGATATATAATATTTATATGTAGCTGCCACTGTGGCTCACCTGATATATCATTGTCATTCTATTTAAGGATCCTTAGACTTAAAATCCTTTACAACACTTGCATATTCCCCACATGTTCACACATTGCATGTCATGTTTTTCCTTAATAGAGTTGCTTTTGCAAATAAATGTATCTTTAAGGAGGACACGGATATTAGTTTCATTGTTTAAAAAGAACAGAAACAATACTTTTTGATTTTAAAGGGAACAGCAACAGTGCTTTTAAATTATCAAGAAATTTTACATTTATTAACTTATTTGAATCCTACAACAACACTGAGATGAGATGGTATTATCTCTATTTAATAAACAAGAATGCTGAGCCCCAGAAGATGTGAGCAATTGGTTCAGTATCACATAGACTGTGAGTGCCAAAGCTAAGACTGAAACTCAAGTCTCCTGTCTCATCAAAGGTGGTGAGCCCACCTAAAATAAATGTATGCAGAACCTGGGCCTGTTGACAGCATCAAGAAATATATGAAGCCAATATGAAGTTTATATCGATTGATACTACAGGACATAAAGCCCGAATGAACTAAAAATGAGATATGGTTTAAATCCATTTTTAACAAAATGACAGATACCACAAGCTTCTGAAGGAAGTAATCAGAGATTTTAACTTTAGAAACTCTGGGCAGTATAATGATGTTAATGATCACAATAGAGGCAAACCAGTATATTTGTTTACTTTGTAAAATGCATATAATAATACTTATGAAACAGCGTTCAGATAAATTAAAGATAGTGAGAACATTTAAGGTCTTTTTCAATAATTTTCTAAAAGCAAACAAGAAAAGGCTGTGTGTGTGTGTGTGTACATGTGTACATGTGCACCACCATCATACCATCATCCAAATGGGGGGTTTAAATAGTCTGTCAAGTTAACGTCTCTGAAAAAGCCTCATGGGTGGATGGATGAATGATTCCCTATGGATTATCAAGAAAGATATATCTTTTAAAAAGCTGTTTCTAGCATGTACTGTAGCACTTCCAGATATTATCTTGGCTGAAATTTCAAGAATTTGTTACAGTTTGTGAAGCAATGGGAAAGAGGAATCTTGGTTTAATGAAAAAGTTTATGTAAGCAGTAAGGAGACAACCCTTAGGTATTTTGTGATCAATTCTTTTGAGTCCATGGAAAATTTGGATATGTTAAATACATTTTGTATGTAAAGTGTGTCTGTCAAAAAAGGTAGATTCATGTCTTAATCTCAACATGGAAGAAATTTCAAACAATAAAATTACCAGAGAAATTAGTCTCTAAGTTACCAAGAGAACTAAATGAAATATGAAATATGAAAAAAGTTTAAAACACTCTCTAAAAATGTACACATCAGATTAATTATTTCAACCAATAGTCTTCAAAATGTGACAACTATTTAACTGAACTGATAAGTAATTTTATTGTTTCTTTGACTTTACACAACAAAATATTTTCCTTATCAGTAATGTGTTTTTTGAAATACACAGGAGCTGTGTATTTTCAGTAATATAATAAACTAAGGTTGAAAATACAAGCAGCATGGATGATTCCTTGATATTATAAAATGTTCTAGATTATAGTGATGCAAATATCCAGAAGGGGACATTTGATTTAGATACCTTATTTGATTCATTTACTTTTATCTATTTATTTATATAATTTTTTAGAGACAGCGTCTCGCTCTGTTACCCAGGTTGGACTACAGTGGCACAATCATAGGTCACTGTAGCCTTGAACACCTATGCTCAAGTGATCCTCCAGCCTCAGACTCCCAAAATGCTAGGATTAGAGGCATGAACCACCATGCCTGGCCCAGTTTAGGTAGAAGGAAAAGAGCTAAAAACTATAATCACACAAAATATAAATCCTGTGCATATTATATTTACTTGGCATTAGTTTTTCTTTTTTTTTTTTTTTAAGACAGAGTCTCGCTGTGTCACCCAGGCTGGAGTGTGCAGTGGCACAATCTTGGCTCACTGCAAACTCCACCTCCCAGGTTCAAAGGATTCTCCTGCTTTGGCCTCCCAAGTAGCTGGGACTATAGGCACGAGCCACCATGCCAGACTAATTTTTTGTATTTTTAGTAGAGATGGGGCTTCATCATGTTGGCCAAGCTGGTCTCAAACTCCTGGCCTCAAGATATCCGCTCGCCTCAGCCTCCCAAAGTGCTGGGATACAGATGTAAGCCACTGCGCCTGGCAACATTAGTTTTTTAAATATGTTAACATCATATATTAAATGAAGAAAACATATTGTAATATTTAAATAATAAAAGAAATTAGGTTTTCATTTTTCTATGCTAGGTTATAAAAGCTATTTATTGTTTATTGATTTTTCAGGTTATTGGTGTAATTTTTTCTTCATTAAAGGATGGAATGGTAATCTAAGTTCATGATGTAAAATTTAGATTTCAGATTACCAAAATAATTAATTGAAAAGTTGGCCATTCAGATTGTCTACATCAGTTAATTTGAATTTAGGAAACAGTATCTTTAAAAGAAAACATATTGGAAAACTGACATAAGGTTGACATCTTTAAATTTTAATATGTAAGGACACTAAGGATATTTAAATAGTAAAAAAATGCAAGGAAAATGTATAGTTTTTACATTTCCTACATATTGCCAACACAGTAACACAGTGTTAGACTTTTTAATTTTTTCGAAACTAGTTTGAATCTTTCTTTCTTCATTTGCCTCCAATAGAATATTGTCTTGGTAACTTAATTTAATACTTTATCAGCTAGTGTGTTCTAAGCCTTTGATTAATCAGAAAAACATAATGAATCCATCACCTTCTTACATATTGATTCTAAAATGATGTACCTTCTGTGTTTCATGGAAATGGGAGGTGGCGGGCAGAAGAGGTAGAAGGGAAAAGATAGGAACAAGTCCCCAAGCAGGAAATGTTCCTAAGTCCTTATCTTATTCTAATTGGACCATCTGGGTTCAGTTGCCCACATGTGGAACAGTAGCATGAAAACAGGTAATTGACAACATCAACAAGACACATTTCTCTAAGATTATGGAATGTAGAGAAGAGAAGGGACTGAGGCTTAAACTAACCTAGTCCACCACTGTCCATCTTTTACATTTGAAGAAACATGTGTCCTGAAGGGTTAAATTACTTAAAACAACTAGTTTACTGCCCAAACCATAACTACAAACTATATCCTCCATATCTGCTGACAGTTACCTACATTTTACACGTTGTGGCCATCTTTTAACCATCAGTATCCCCAACTTCCAGGTTATAGCCTTGAACCAAAAGTTTGGAAATTACTTTTAGAAAACATTTGTGAGTAAGTGGAATATTCAAATATTGGCACAAGAGAGATGACTTCAGAAAACAAACATTCTTTCACTTTCCAATTTGGATACATTTACACACACACACACATACACACACACACTGATGCCTTGCTTACTAATTTCTATCTCTAAACTTTAATGTGGGTTTGGAGGGATGTCTTGAGAAGAGTCCTTAAAGATCAAATAGGATAATAATCTAAAAAGACTTAATTCTGTTTATGATTTTGCTAATTAT